TCTGCCATGCCACCCTGCCTTGGAGCCAGCCAACTATGACCTAAAACCTCTACAAACTGTGAGCCAAATAAACCTTTCTTCCTTTAACTTTGGTTATAAGGTATTTTGTCTCAACAGTGAGAAAAGCAGCTAAGATACTCATTGATGAGTTCACAGCTGAATTGGCTGTTAAGAGATAGGACCTAGTTGAAGGAAGTGGGTTACGAAGGTGTGACCTTGACTATATATGGGTCCTAGCCTTTTCCTATCTGGTTCTCCCCTGCTCTTTGCTTCCCAATGCCATGAATTGAGTAGTTTGTCTCTCCCATGCCCTTCTACCATGATGTTCCTGCTTTAGAGCCAGCCAACTAAGGTCTAGAACTATGAATTAAAAATAAACCTTTCTTCCTTTAAATTGTAGGTATCAGGTATTTTGTCCCAATGACAGGAAAGCTGATTAATGTACTCTGTTATAAACAGTTTCACTGTTGTCTCCTTTGTATTTACTCCTGTTTAGGGTCACTTAATTCTTTGGATCTGTGAGTTTTTGCTTATTTTGGGTTTTTTTTTTCTTTCCTTTTATCAAATTTGGAAAATTTAGCCATCGATGGTGGCACACACCTCTGGGAGGCTGAGTCAGGAAGATTGCAAGTTTGAGCCCATCCTGGGCAACTAATCAACTTAGCAAGAACCTGTCTCAAAATAAAAACCAAAATGCCTAGGGACACAGTTCCCTGTGAAGGCTCTGAGTTCAGTCTCCACCAATTTCCAAAAAATATTAGAAAACTTTTGGCCAATAATTACTCAGATTTTTTTCTTCTGTCTCCTCTTCTTCTTTTGGGATTGCAGTTACACTTATGCTACACTTCTTAGTATACCTAATCAGGCACTGTTTGGTTTGGGTTTGTTTGAATTTTTCCCTTCTTCAAACATTTTTTTTTCTTTCTGTGTTTCAATTTGCATAATTTCTTTGATAGCCATTGTGTAGTAATCTCTGAAAGAAAAAAATCTAGCCAGGCATGGTGGTGCATGCCTGTAATCCCAGCACTTGGGAGGCTGAGGCAGGAGGATCACTGTGAGTTCAAGACCAGCCTGGCCTACATAGTGAGTTCCAGGTGAGTTTCAACTACATAGTGAGACCCTAAAAAAAAAAAAAAAAAAGAAAGAAAGAAAAAAATCTAAGTATTGACATTTTCCCAAAGCATAGTATGTTACTGATGGTTATAGAGATTCCTTTAGGGGTGATCTGGAGACGTATTAGGCAAATGGAAATCACAAGATACAGCGGGAAAGATTTAGTATTGAGTGTTCATGGACTGAAAAGCAAAAAAGAAACACCGAGGTAGCACAAGAGTGATTACTGTGAGGAGCAGCCCCCATCCCTAAAGCCAGTGAAAAGAGATTTGTTTCAGTCACTTTCTCATTGCCCAGACACATACCTGAGACCAGAATTAAAGGGCAAAAGGGGCCAGGGATTTGGCTCAGTGGTTCCGCTGCCTGCCTTGTGAGCACCGGGCCTGAGTTCAACCCCTGGTACCTCCAAAAAGAAACAACAACAACAACAAAAAAAAAAACAGAACGGCTGGGTGTGGTGGCATGCTCTTGTAATCCCAGCACTCGGGAGGCTGAGGCAGGAGAATCACTATGAGTTCGAGACCAGCCTAAGCTAGAGTGCGTTCCAGGTCAGTCTCAACTACATAGTGAGGCCCTGACCCAAAAAAAAAAACCAAAAAGGGCAAAAGGTTTATTATGGCTCATACATGTAGAGATTTGAGTCCATAGTAGGCTGGCTCTACGACAGGGTAGCCTGGTGGAGGGACATAGCAGAGGAATATATATCTCCACAGTGACCTACCTCCTCCAACCAGGCTTCACCTTTCAACATCACATGTAGCTATAAGCTTATCAGTGGGCTAATCCACTCATCAGCATCATGCCCTCATGATCCAGTCATCTCTCCAAAGCCCTACCTACGAGCACACGAGGCTTTGGAAGAGCATTTAGGTGGTGGAGAGCAGCTACCATCCCTTGAACTAGAGAAAAGGGATTCAGCCTTGATTGGTTGGACTATTAGGTCTCAGACACTGAGAAGAATGACCCACCTGAACTGTAGTGAACTGTAGCTTAGACTGCTGAGTGGAAGCCTTCCAGCTTGTCCTGCTACTTCTTCAAGGGATATGATGAAGCTGATTGATTAAGGCAGAAGTGATGCAAAAAGAAGCTAAGGGCTAGCCAGGTGTGATGGTGCACATTGGAAACCCCACCACTCTGAGGGCTAAGATAGGAGATTGCAAGTTCAAGCAAACTTAGCAAAACTCTGTCTCAAAATAAGTATTTTAGGGCTGGGGATGTAGCTCAGTGGTTCTGCTGCCCGCCTCACAAGCACAAGGTCCTGAGTTCGATCACTGGTACCAAAAATAAATAAATAAATATTTTGAAGACAAGGCTAAAGACATAGCTCTATAAAGGCCCTGGGTTCAACAACCAGTCCCACATTTTAAAAAATTAAACCAAACCCTCAAGGCTAAAATCAATTAACAATCCAGGGTTAATAATGACAGAAACTATAGGCAAATCAAAAGAAGAAAGTCCCTTTTCCCCTTTTGCCTTTCTTCCAGTTTCCCTTTATGTCCTTTTATTATAGACAACTATGTTTGATAAAAATTAATATACAGTCAGAGAGGGACGGGGATGTCAAGGAAGTCAGCACACACACACACACACAGCAAAATTATGGCTGGAGATGGGTCTGAAGAAAGCCAGGCCTCAAGATAAAGATGCAGTAGCCATGCATACCTGCTTCCCTAAGAGATAAATAGTAACTTGAAGTTATACTATAATTAGCTCTACCTGGCCCAGTAAATCCATATTAGGCATCATACTCGGGTGAGTGACAGAGGATCTGGACCCATCCCTTCCCAAAAATGCCTTTGTTCTTTCCATGTTCCCTTGAGACTTATTTGTTTTCCTATTAAATCAATGTCATCTAAGGGGTTATACTTGTAATCCTATAGGTTGATTATATTTTGACCCACATTGTACCTGTGTTGTGATTTTGCTGTATAAATTACCCCTAGCAAAGGGTCTTGGTGGCCACCCAGTTGGGACTCCTCCTGAAAATCCAGGAGCTATTCTTCTTGACATTTCCAGTAAAATTTCCCTAACTTCTTTCTTTGGTCCACAACTCCATTCCTCAATGTTGTGGTACCATGAACTCAACACAGATGACATCTAACAGATTAGGAGTTATATTTCTTCTATATCACTTTATTGGTGGAAGTTAGTAAGACTCTACTTATTTTTTATCTTATTAAGCTCTATTTCCCATCTGTACATAGGAAAATGTAGTTTGCAGGGTCTGATATAGTGTCAAATAGGAAAGCTTAGATGGTAAGTTTAGAGCAGAGACAATCACTTAATTAATACTATATTTGTTTGGGGTTTTTTTGTTTTTGTTTTTGTTTTTGGTACTGGGGATCAAACTCGGGACCTTGCACTTGCAAGGCAGGTAGTAACCCATACTATATTAACATTTGTTCAGAATTAGTAAAAATTGCCCAAATAAAACTTAATGCCATTTACGTGCTTTTATAGACTTTTGGCCCCTTTTGAAAAGGACACCATGTCAACTTTCCACCATACTATAATTACTGCTGGTGTCTTCTTTAGAAGCAAGGAGTATCTTTGCTGGCAATATCTCATATACAGTACTTACCACAAAATTATAAACAAGGGCAGCTTTGAAAGAGATCTGCATCACTGAAGATAAATAAACCCTGTCCCAGCACTAGGTCTCCTACCACCAGACATGAAATGGCATAGATTATATAGGGCTGGCAAGAATCTAGCCTTCACATATTTTCTATGTGTTGCCTAATATGGCTATAGGAAGAAGGTCAATTTCATGTTCTAACATTAGACCATTGTCATTGAAAAGCCAGCTCCTTTCTTTTGTTCCTTCTTTCTTGCTTTCATTGAAGCTGCTTTCACCTCTATC